CAGATGGACTGCCCCTAATCTCCAGCACAGAACGTGCGTCCGCGTTGGCGGCGCACTTCGCTTATGTATTTGCAAATAACCAGGTGTCTGTTCCGAGTTTGACGTGAACCGCTTTTCCCGAAGTCGATCGTCTGCATTGCGGCGTTGAAGAGGTATGTCAACTACTCGCCAGCCTTGAGGGCACCAAACGTGCCGGACCTGATGGGCTTCACTCACTGATTCTCAAGTCACTTTCGACCATCAACTCTCCTGTCGTGACTGACCTTTTCAACAGGTCGCTGTCCGAAGTTTCGTTGCCGATTGACTAGAAAAGTTCGGTGGTGAAGCCTATTCCGAAAGGTGGCGACCCTAGCAAATTAGACAACTATAGACCAATTCGTCTGACAACTATTTTGGCAAAGATTGCTGAGAAAATCGTGAAGAAAGGATTGCTGCAGTTGCTACAGTCAAAAGAGGTCCTGACGCCGGCATAGCACGGTTGTATGCAAGGCTGCTCATGTATTACAAAGTTGCTTGTGACGAGGCACGAGTGGTTGAAGGCAATAAGCAAGAGGAAGTCTGTCGACGTAATATTCATCGATTGCAGTAAAGCGTTCGACAAGGTCAGACATGAGGTTCTCCTTCGCAAACTCAGGATGTGTGGTATAGGTGGTTCACTGCACCGGTGGATCCGCGACTTTCTTGTTGGACAAAAGTGGAGCGTCCAGGTCGACGACCACCCAACTGACTGTTGTCCCTCTACAAGTTGCGTGCCTCAAGGCACTGTGCTGGGGCCCACTCTGTTCCTGGTCCACATCAACGATCTAACCCAGGTTCTTCGGTCGCCATGTGCCTTGTTTGCGGACGACATGAAGATTTGGAGAGAAAGTGACACTCCCGACGACTGTGGCCTACTTCAGCAAGCCCTCAACCGCCTATATACATGGTCTGCAGAAGTTCATCTCTCGGTCAACCCAACAAAGTCTGTATTCATGAGCCTGGAAAAGGGTGCTGACGGCTGAACCTACACCCTGGACGGACAACCACTATATCCCACACCATCCGTGAAGGACCTAGGTGTACTCTCGCGCTACGATTTGAAGTCCTTGGACAACACGAACAGGCTATATCGTAACGGATTGCACAAGCTTTTGGCGCTCAAACGTAGCTTCGGCACATGGTCTGAAGAGGTTGCCACTCGCCTCTTCTCTTCCATCATTAGACCAATGCTAGAGTACCGTTCTCCTACCTACTTTCCGATTACCCGAGACGAGGCACAAAAGATCGAACGGATCCAACACGTTGCTACCAGGCTCATCCCTAGTTTACGTGGCTTGGGGTATGAAGACCGGTGCGAGAAACTAGGATTCTACACCTTGTCCTGCAGTCGAGTACGAGTGGACCTCATTATGACCTACCGTATTCTATATCTCGGTGAATTCGCCATGCTGAGGCCAATGCTGCACTTATGAAGGCCATGCAGCAAAAGCGGACACAGACACAAACCTGCCGTGCCGGATGTGAAACGTGTTGTTCCCCACCCACTGTGCTTCAAACGGAGAGTGGTAAATATTTGGAAGAGTTTACCAGAACATGTGAAGAGGGCAACATCTGTGCATCAGTTCAAAACGCTGTAAGGTTTATATTTTACCATTATTCGATTCAGATAAGATTAGACACTTACGATGACATGTCACATGTGTGAGTCCTGCAATACCGTGAGTCAGATACTTTAAATGTTACACGATATTCACGGCTGACAACTTTTATAACGTTTTTCACCATATTTAGAAAGAGTTGTACAGAATTCATTTCTACTTGGCTCTATAATACAGTATTCAATACCTGGGCTATCCTCCAACTCATGGTGCGTACATTCGTTCTCACTTCCTCTCGTTCTCCTTGGGCACAGACGCTCACCTTTATCATGTCGGTAACTACAGTAGCAGGATCGCACCATCTCATGGGTTTTCTCTATTGAAGGCCGCGTCATCTTTTGAGTATCGACTCAGTCATGTAGTCGACCATCGCAATATTTTTCTACCTTTGGAGTACCACTACAATCAGGCGGCTAACATGCACTTGCATTTTTCGTGCCTCACTCGTCACCCTTCTTACCTCTTGTCTACCCGACGCAAAACAACCAGTTAACGGGTATGCACCATACACTGCATCGTTCCTCAAGCCCTGTACATTGCCATACCCCTCCTCACTCATGTATAGTAAGCCCAGTTCCCACTCTCGCCACCCACCAACAGACGCTGCTTTAGTATCCGTCGCCTGCATCACGGTCCCTGTAAATCGGACCTCATAAGGTGGCTCAAGTTCCCATGGATCCCTTGATACAGGTAACAATGGATACAGCCAAAATCAGCGTGACCTTACCTATCAACAATCTTCAGGAAATACATTATTAGGTAATGCTATCCCCAACAAGCTGATGTTAGAGGCAGTAACCCTTCTACCCAAGATGGTGTAGCCAACCTTCTACCGAATGCTCGCTCGCTGGCAAATAAGTTGCATCACCTGCATTTTGTGCTTGAAACGGAAACATGGTTTGGATCGCAGTGCACGGAGCTTTTTGTTCCTAGCTTCATCGCTTTTGTTAGTAATGGGCTTATTGGTCGAGGTAGCAGTACGTTGTGTACGTTAATGATGCTACAGAGATGAGCAAAGTGGAGGCTCCATCGTTAGGCGACTTCGAAGACTTCGTCTAGGTACAGGTTAAGATAAACTCCTGTGATTTGCTTGTTGGTTGTGTTTACTCGTTGCCCGGCGCTACCAAGGCCAAATTAGACCAATTGACCGAATTAGTTGAATGAGCATCTGGGATGCCGTTCTTTCAAAAGATTGTATACGGCGACCTCAACGTGCCTGATGTTACATGGCAGAAACGAACAGCACCCGCCAAATATCGGGTGGACACAGCAAGTATGGTTTCCTACTAGAATTGTATTTCACATTCAGAATAGCCAGTGTAAGAATAGATTCTTAGAAGTCTCCCTGGGCGCGATCATAAGTGTATCCAACAAACCTACAAGATCGCCCAAATAACAGCAGTGAACCCTCAATACGCTTACCAATAGCGACTATATCACAAACTGACTAGATTACTAAATTTTAGACTGGGATGGCAACCAGCCTGCCACCAGCCATTTGATGATCCCTTGACCCTTGATGGCGACGAACTGGTTACTGGTTGGAAGCAGCAAGAAGAGATGTCTCTGTGTAGCTGCATCTAATGTCAGTCAGGGACAAAGGCCCGTTATGGTGAAGTGCGCTCGATATATTTTACATCCGCAAAGTATTTGTCCAGGAATTTCTTAAAGTCCGACACCGAGTTCCTCAACTACGTGCTGCGGCAGGTCGTTACATACATTCACCACTCTGCGTTCGAAACAGAGTTGGTGAGCGATCCGCTTCAAATCCGGTACGACAAGCTTGTACCGGTGTCATCGTGTGCTGCTTGGTGTGCGCAGAAGAAGCAGCGGCCTCAACATGGGGTAATCTCCCAGATGTAATATCCGGTGCGTCATGATGAGGTCAACCCGCAGTCGACGTTAAGCTAGGGTGTAAGACCCTAGTTTTTTACACCGATCTTCGTACGGCACACCTCCTAAGTTGGATACCAGTCCGGTGGCTACATGCTGCACTCGCTCAATCATTCCTGCACGATTCACCTTGGCAAAAGCCTTACTGAAGTCAACTCGAAGTAGTTGATCAATTCACTTACCTTGGCAGCTGTATCAGCAACGATTGGTGCACAACGACTGAAGTCAGTTCACGTATTGCAAAACCCAGAACTACCTTTTTGAATTTGTGACATCTTTGGCGACAGAAAGGGGTTATCATCCGCAAGGTTATAGTTAATTATGACGCGGGACAGCGAAGTCTGCAAAGAAGCTGTCGCGCCGATGCCGCCTTATCTTTGCACGGTAGGTTGTTGACAATATGTAGGCACCTTGGTCCTGAATATTTGCTTAGGGCATTAAAGTTTTCCGTTAATCTCCCCTTCTCTACCTCTTAGTGTTCTTCGTTCCGTAGATCGTTATGGTTGTATGGCAGAGAAGCATCAGTACAAATGGCTGGTGTACTGCTGTTTATGACGATGATGAGGGTTGAACGGATTTATACTTCCGCTCTTGTCGTGCTGCTGAGTACACGCGTTTCTGCCCGTTCATTCGTTGTTATTCCGTTTATCGGATGATTGTCGTCGTCCGTTCTCGTCTCTCAGTGGTTGATACATTTATCATCCGTTTGGTTAGCTTCTTTTGTTATTCTTTTGCAGCCCGGACTTCTCGTTCATATCTAGAACCTGCTCTACTGAACATATTACAACTCAGTCACTAAACTCCCATTTCCGCCTTCCGATTAGAATGTGCTGGTTCAGATCGACTGGACAACAGTTAACGGAGAATCGAACCCCCAATACATTCTTCTGCACTTCTTCCTGAAAGGCGTGCACGTGCGAAACTGTAACGAACATAACATTACACATACTTCTATCCAATATGTTGACGGGATTTATCAAAAAAAACTGTAAGCATTTTGATCTTTCCCTATGTACGAATAGTCTCTCGCACCATCGAGAAATAAAAGATTTATGTATTTATGTATTTAACTTATCAGCTATCCCAACGACGTCCATGGGCGCAGTATATGATTGATACAAGTTTATTTGCCGTCGAATAGTATCACTCTCTAGTTGTGGTGTATTACCGTTCTTTCGAGCAAGATAAAGTAATCTGATAGTCCGAATCTGCACTGCATGTGTGGCATGCGGTCAGTGGAGCAAAACGACACACACGCGACCAGTGATGACCCAACCGTAAACCGTTGATTTTAAGCGCTGCCTATGCCGAGGATGTTATGGGCAGTGCGCCATTCCGAAGTGGCATGATCTTGTTATAAACCATTACACAGCGGATCACCTGTCATCTTACTTAGGAGACGAACACACCGGACGACAAATGGAAACATCGGATGATGGGTCTACCGGACAAATTCTATGGAAAACTCACATCCGCATGGACTTCTCCGTTAGACTCATTCGGATTTCCTGCTTCAAGAACCGCGTTTGGATGTTCCACAGGTTGTTGCTGGGCTTGGATAATGGCACGACGTAATGCCACATGGCGGCGGTATACATTGTAGCTGAGCGGAAAAGCATAGATAAAAAATGCATGGTTTCGAATAACAGGCAGTTCGATTAAATGCGAAAATACATAGTACAGACCAGTTCAGGGCACTTTCAGTGACAAATAACCTTAACTCGGTCAACAGAAAGTCTCGAGGAGGTGAAAGCCGCCACAGAGAAACTAAGTTCGCGTGGAAAAGCAGTTGCTCCGAGGGGCACTGGTTTAGAAAACTAGATTTTTTCTGAGATCCTATGAAATGAGTAACCTGTTAACCTGACTGCTTACAACTCCATCCGGTAAGTTACCACAAGGTATTGCCGCTCCCATCAGTTGAAAATTAGTGCATTTACAGATAAAGTCAGGTTCCCGAAACATGACTGCGCAGGCCTTTTAGTTTATCTTTATTCTCTTGAACCTTTTCTAATAAAGTTGGATGGATCCTAAGCAGATGCCCTGAAAACTAAGTCCATTCCGAAGGCGAGTAGAAAGTCAACTGAAAAAAACTTATGTAAGGGATAACGAAAGGTGATGTTGATTAACGCATTTCTGATGTGGAGGGAAAGTGCCTGAACTGCACTCATTCCAGCCAGTTCCAATATGTGGATCCACCGGGAAGCCTGCGAGAGAAAACAATTAGAGTAAAATCTTTGTGATCGCCACTCAGCACCATGCTTCTCTGTTCGGATAGTGATGAGTGTCAAAACCAATGCCATAAGTGCATTGATCAAGTGCGTCTCATCAGAGTCCATACACGTTAGACATAGGAGGCAACCATCATCTGTTGGCGAATCTTAAGATACTTAGCTCTACATGGTGCTTTGAGAATATTTGCATGATGCCATCATATTTTCATTGCTATCCAAGTAACCGACAGTTAAACATGGTTGGCGGCAACCGGTTCCGGATTTGCTTGTCACTGAGGCCTCTATAGCATAGCTACAGGACGCCTGTGCCAACAAAGGGACCACGGGTAGCTTGCGCTACACCACCCACAGCTCCATCCACACGAACCATATCCAGTGTAAACCCGAGGAAATAAGACTGGGAGGCATGTGGATGGGAACTATGTTTTAGCAACGGAGCCGGCTCACATTCGTTCAACGAGCACAGCAGCAGCAGCAGCATGTCTGTCTATCTATGTAGGGAATCATGCGTATCAGACGTACACAAGGCGGTGGCTGCTCCATAATTCGCTTCACACTGTATGGAACCACTCTTTGAGCCTAACAAGTCCACGAGGATTGTGCACCTCCTCCTCCACAGCAACGATTCCGTCTCCTGGAGCCAGTAACCGAGGTGGAGGGTAGGCACCTTGTCAGCAATCACTGCGATCATTGGTCCGATGCACGGCTTGTCTCCGTCGGCTTCTGCTCGTCTTCGTTTATTCGCCTCGAGTCACGGCTGCGGCAACCGCTTTGTAAGTCTGGTCTGTCGTTCTTACCTCGTCTTGGTGTGGATGTCTCGGCTAAACTGATCCGCCAATCAGCCAACCACGATTTCTCCCTCTGGCTGGTCGATGCGAGCACATGAATGGTCAATTTGCCATATGCTTCTAACTTCCTTTCGCTCAAGCAGTTATCCGATATCATACACCTCTGACGCATTTGCAGTCGCAGCCCGTGATTGGCCCGCATGACTGGAGCCGACTTCTCGGCTCTGATCAACCGACTATTATCACGCACAAATTCGCACATATCTCGATTTCGTCGGTTTCGGTCCAGCATGGAAGATGGATGTGACCGAAGGTATGTAGACGGGAAATAATCATTTTTACGTTTTTCCGCAATGTGGTAGGATGACCACTGCGCGATCTTGTAAGCACGAATGGACTGCGACGTGGTAATTACGGGATTAGTGACATTTGTTCACCCGAGTGATTAGAATCGGTGATAAGCAAGCATGTCAGATGCAAGTAGTGGGGAAACGGCAGTATAGCTCTTATCAAGAGGGTGCTGTGTGATTCTTTCGTTTCAATGATCAGCATTCCGTTAGGCGTAGTAATCGGGATGATGGTGTCGGATGGATGTGCACTGCTCCCATTACCATCACGCGCAATAAAGCCTGGCATAGCACGTGTCTAGCTATGGTGAGGGTGAAAGGTAATGTGAGAAACCATTGAGCACAAATAACAAAAGCCGGTTGGCCCCATTTTTGTGATCGGACAACAGTTGTTCAGTAGGTGATTTGTGCTCCAGCACGACTCTCGGGTTGACGGTAAACATTATGGGAGAAACAATATAGTATTCTTCTCCGCGGAAAATAGGCTACCAGAGCGAAGGCCAGCCAGTGCATGGGTTAAGCCTATAAGCCTCACTGTCATGGAATATGGAATTTGTCATACAGCTACAGTTAGTCCCAGAAGTCTTGTCTCTCCTGTTACTCGAGGACCAAGGGTCACGCCTTCGGGCGAGAAAAAATCGCACTAAATTGCCAACTTCCAGTAGATGTTGGTCACTCTCAAGTTGTCCCTCAACCGGTCACATGAGTGTGGACGACCGGAGTGATGGCTGTATGCCTGTATCTGGGTTCAGGTGTACTTGCCAGCCTCGTCCATCGTGAAAACGCTGGCCGGATGCGGATCGTTGAGTTGAAGTCAATCTACGTCACGCCACAGGACAAGTTCCCCGATCGACACATATCGTGTTACGGGTTGGTTGGAACGAAGACAGCAGTGCATCAGTACTGGGCTACTGCAGGAGGATCGTGATGGCGCTTGGACAGGTCTAACTGCCCTGAGCAAGGAGTGTTCAATAGGTGCTTAATGTTATCGTAGCTTATAACAAAAGTGTTATTAGCAACGCACTTGTGGACTGAAAGTTAGCTTCCAATAACGCACCTTAGCAAAAGAGGCATCTCTTTCAATTAGGCCTTGCACATGTGAAATGTAACTTTTTGTAAAAGGAGTCTTGAAAAGATGTGCCGTCTAATGACCACTCGCTGCCGCATAGCCTATTTTCTTGTTAAAAGGAGTTAAAGGGACTAACTGGTCACTTTTAGGGACAAGGCAAGCAACTAGCTGGTCGTGCTCAGTTCGAATATGTGGCTGTGAGAGACTGAGAAATGCTAACATCCAAATCCAGTCGTTTTGTTCTGCCCCGACCAATGAGGGGCATGGTGCATAAATTAAGTGAGACTTGAACGGCTTGATGCGTCTGCTGTACAGTACTGGCCTAAGTAATTTTTCTATGGAGATAGTAGGTCCATCTGGAATACTTTATTTTCCCTCGGACACGTAATACTTCCCAACGGTGGCGGTTCAATAGAAGAAAGTGAGCAGTACAGTAACCCAGTTCACTAGTCTGCCCCACCACATACAATGATGGTCGTTTGATTTATTCGCGCGCTAATGAGGTACCAGCTGCCAAAATTTAAATTGTAGGATGAATTGAAGCCAGGAGCCGTGGCCAGTGGAGGATGCATCGGAAGGCCATTGACATCTACGGAACGTATCCCCGGCAAGCGCTTATTTGCCTATAAGATCTTCGGCGAACAATGAGTTGATGGTCGATCTAGGGTTTGCTAGTGGACTAACAACGGAACACCTCCAGAGGGTTCGCTAATTTGGAGGAAAAACTGGGTTGTTCTTAACGAGACAGTGACTGACAGCAAGGTCCTCAGGAGAAAACATGTGGTTCAGCTTATAACAGTACCGTTTGCGCCGATAGAATCTGCGTAAATGCTACGTACCACCGTAAAAACAAGTTTTGGTCCGGGGAACTATGAATGAGACGTGGTAACTTGAACGGAGAGCTGCACCAGGCTTGAAAATGAGAGCAGCTCAAAATCGTCTGCTAAAAATTCGAGCGAGATGCTTGGATTTTGATCGGGAGCTAAGTTCGAAGATCGAAAGCAACAGATGTACAGCAAGGTAGGAAAGTAATCTTCTCTGATTGACCAAATCCGTGTGTCATATAACCGAGGTAATCCCTGAATTCATCGGAAACTGGAGTCGTACCAGGATGTGGTGGCGAACTAGCCTTGTACGCCACAAACATGGAGTCGAGAGGGACAAACCAGGGTGTTCCGGGATATAAGAGGTGAGATCAGAATTGTTCAGGATGAATTTCATAGGTAGACAAACGAATAGATCCAGAATATTGATAATGAAAGAAACCAAGAGACAACGTGAGTAACCGAGGTAAACGGATGGAATCGCTTATGTGTAGAGCCACTATCCTGAAGGTGATGCTGCTTGGAGAACATCACTATTGCTATAAACCCACGAGATCCGCCAATAGACTGGCGTGACATCCGAGGAAGAGGTCGATGCAACCTCATGATTCAACATAGAGCCTGAATGCTGACTAGCGGTGGGAAAAAACATATGTATATGGATGGGTAAAATGGATGATGTATGTGAAAATGGTATTAGACAGACAGAATGGAAGCAGTAAATCGAAAACAAAGTTAATAAGCACTTACAAATAAACGTATGCCGCCACGGAGAATACTATGATAGCCTTGTCCAAGGAGGAATAGGCGAAGCACAAGCCAATGAAGAGACAGAGACGGAACAGTAGATAGAATCGATCGACAATATCCATATTGCCTGCATTCTCGCCCATCTCTTCAGCACCTGCAAAGGCAGCACCCATCGGATTGCCAAGCACCGCTGGCGGTGGATGCTGAGGTCGTGCGTCAGCTGGTTGATTTCCATCCAAGACTTCTCGTTCCCCGACATTATTGTCCACACCTAATCCGCGCAAAACTGCTCGCGCACCACGAACCCACGGACCTCCGTCTTCAGCGTTCGGACTAACGTTTTCTGTATGCGGTTGTGTTGTGGGTGGCAAACCAGTAAAACTGGGAGGTAGAGAAGAGCTGGGAGGGTTTCCATATCCATATAGACCAACCTGTGACACTGGATTCGGCCAGTAGTTAACGAATGGCCAGCAACCAGGATCTGAAAATATCCGTATAGTATGCAATAACTTTAAAAAGGTTCAACAGACAATTGACCACAAGGTGAAAGAAAGTGAGTGAGAACGAGGGATTGCGTCCTGATTGTGTATGCTGGACTAATATGACAATACTAAAGTATCGCAAAAGCTGAGGGAAACATCATCATCATAATCATCAACAGCAGTACATCAGCCATTTGAACTGATGCTTCGTTGCCATACAACCACGAGGACCTATGAAATAAAGAATAAGAAGAGGGAGAGAAGGGGGACTTACCTGAAAACCTCAATGTCCTAAGCAAACATTCAGGGTCAAGGCGCCTACACCTTGTGTTAACAACATACCGTCACAAACGCCTGGCTATCGTGCAAAGATAAGGCGGCATCGGCGAGACAGCTTCCTTGCGGCTTTCACTGCTCCGCCTCATACTCAGTCATTACGCCGCAGATAACTCAGCACCACACACTTTAAAAAGGCAATCCGATTAGGAGACGGCAGCAGACGCGCCACTGGTGTCGGTTGCGAGCCATGTCCTGTAAAGTCTCGAGCCAAGCACAAGACGAGTCAAGTGGACTCCAGCCCAGGAGACGAGACGGACCAACGGCACCCAGTTTGGTCGTCAGTGACTTCATTTCCCACTGCCAAGTCAACTTCTGTCCACCTCGAGCCCTGCGCCATCCTACACCTGGCAGACTAAACAAGGCGCTCCTAGGTAAGCGGTGACCAGGCATACGTAGCACGTGCCCGAGTCAACGCAACATTCAGTGCTATCTGTTGTTATAGAGAGCTAGTATGTTTATCATGACCTAGTACTCGCCTACGCACATCATCGTTGCGGACACGCTGGTGACATCCGACAAAAGCAATGCTTCGTAGACAACGATGATCAAAGACTTGAAGGTGCCTCAGATCTTCAGACAGAAGGGGCAAAGTCTCATTCCCATACAGCAGAACGGCCCTCACTGTGGCCTTGTATACACGGCCTTTCAGACGGAGGGAAACTCCATTCTGTCACTAAAGATGCCACAGGTTCAAGAAGGTAGCTCTGGCTTATGCAATGCGGGAGCTGACGTCAGTTTCTATGCGCCCATCATTGCCGATGCAGCTGCCAAGATAAGTGAAATGATCAACCATCTCGTGTTCCTCGTTAGCAAGCGTCAAGAGGTCATCAAGTGGCTGGTGGTCCTGCAGCAACACTCTGCACTTTGAGGGTGCGAAGTGCATACCAAATAATGGGACCAATCTGGACAGGCTATTCAGAGTTGATTGTGCCGTCCCAACATTGTCGAAAAGCAAGACGATATCGTCCGCATAATCTAGATCAACTAACCTTTCACCAGGAAGCACTTCAACGCCTATATCGTGAGATTCCGCAAGGGAACACTCCATGATAGAATCCATGACGAAATTGAACAAACAGCATGCGGTTAATGTGTGAATCCAACAGGACTCTCATAAGCGCGATTACCAAAACCATCCAGAATAGATGAAAGAAACGATGACACCGAGGTGCAGTGCATGTTAGGCCCGTGCTGGCCGAAATATTATTTTACAACATTGTTATCGCAATCTAAACAATGGCACGACAGAGGAGATAGAGCTGGCAATATGAGGCAAAAGATCTATGGGGCAGCGATCACTGAGTTCACTGAGGGACACTGATTAATGATTTGAGTTGGTATTTCACGGACCTAAATCGGAAGTTTAGCAAGGGAATAACAACAGTGATGCTTAGAAATAGTTAGAATAAGCAATTGCGGCGTGCAACCCACAAAGCTTGGATAACTTGACTGCTCACAGCTATCATGGGTAGGGTTTGCGCTTTGAATAACATGAACCCCAGATAACATAATGTGTTGATGTGTGTAGGGTCCACATAAAGTAGCAGCATAGGAAGACAGATGGTTGGAAGGGATGTCCATCCACTAAGCACATATTTAACTGTAGACAAGAATAGCGCATAAACCACAAGTAGCTTAAGACATGAATCACATTTGCTTGACTCTGTGTCGTCAGTGAGATTGTGTATGGCACTGGTCATTGATCCTCTACTTAGTCTCCGAGCTTGGCAGAGTAATCAGCGAACACGTGATGTCTAGATAACATGACTATGGTTAACACCCTGATCCAAAGTACGGGAATCCAAAAGCACGAGAAATATTGTAAATGACGAACGCTTGTTTAGCTCATCTGAACTTACGATGAGAAGGCCGAGTCTACACTGACAAATGGGTAACAGAAAAACGCAGACGATTGTACTTATATGTAGAACGGAACCGGTACCATGAGGATGGCAGGCCTTCGAAATGTTAACAGACTGCTAAGCAAACGCTACTGTGAATAGGAATCTACCACCAATTTCTAGTCACATCCCGAATCGGCCGTCCTGCAGCTTCAAGAGAATCTGTTGTACAAAGCAGACCCAATTTTTAAACGTCCCTTGTGTACAACTAGCAGCTCAACTGACGGCAGCCAAATTGTCATTGGACTTCTAACGTCTGTAGTCATTATTTCTACATAATGCATTAGACTCATATCATAAACAGCCCGTTTCAGAAAGGGCGGTGTGGCATTTCAGAGGTTTAGCCACCTATGGAGACGGCGGCATTTCTGTCTGTCAGTGAAACGTAGGGTGCATAACGCTACCATAAGGCCGGTGTCAATGTATGGATCCGGTCAGTTCGCAGTGAAGACATGGAAGGCTTGTCCGTGTTTGATCACCGGTGCTTACGGAGTATTGTTCACATCTGGTGCGAACACCGGGTGAGTAATGCGGAGGTCCGCCAGTTGGTTTTGGGCGAGAAGTCCTCCGGTGCGTCATTTGAATGTTTGCCTTAGCTTAACCGGTTACACTGGCTAGATCATGTCCTCCGAATGCTCGTTGACCACTTTCTTCTGTGTTGTCACTGCACCAAGTTGCACGAAACCGCAAGGTGGCCAGTCAATGTCGTGGCATAGAGGCATGAAGAAATTAACTGAGAGACTTGGTCAGGTTGGTGTGTGTCGTCTTCGTAGATGGGGGTTTCAGAATGTTCCACACCAGTAATTGGGGACCTATCAGGCATAGTACAGTTGCGTAGTTATATCTAGCTATTAATTTTGCATTTCTACTAGTTTGACGTACTTTTTCTTCGAGCACATTTCCTTTGTGTTCTATTTTCCTTCTAACCCATTTGCTTACTGTTGTTATTTGTTGTTATACCGAGGAGGTGGGTCATAGCAACTGGATCCACCGCAGTTCGGTACCCGAACCACAGGTGTTCAACCGAACCGAACCGAAATGAATACGCTGTCCACTCTCATCGCATATGGTCTCGCTAATTTAGAATAAATTCCGATGGTTGCCAAGAACAGCGCCCGTCCCCATTTCCGATGCACGATGTGACCACCAAGCTTAGCAGTCCCGCTTTCAGGCAAGCAAGCAGTTTAACGGGTCTCGCTGTGTGTATTCCCGGCTGGAATGCAAGGCCAGCATCCAGTGGTTCCAGGGAGTACGTAGAGACCTAGTGCCTATGCCGGCAATAGAAGTTGTCACACGAATACAGCTTCTGTTATTAACGTAGGCCGAACATGTGACCAATGGTAGTAGGCTGCATTCGGTGAGCCCGTAGTCAGCTGGAATGACAGCGCATTGGTACGCCTCCAGAAAATGCAGCTGGCAAGGATCTGTGCGCTCATAGTGTTCAACGAAACGCACCAGATCAGAACACACACGTGCATGGTCTGAGTCTACACTTCTGCTCCAAATTGAGCGACAGTTGTGGACGCAACGCCTCCAATGGTAAATAGATAAATAACTGACATTTGTTGACAAAGTAAGCCATGGTCCAACGTTAACTGACGACTGGTTGGTTCGGCGGAGCTGTACGCCACCGGGCGGATCGGGGAACGTATTCGTTGCGAAGGCAACTGTGAATTAGTCTCAGCCGTTCGTAGGCGAGATGAATAAGCAGTCGTGGACAATCAGCGGCAGCGTCCTAGAGCGTGGGGTGTTCTGGTTGGGTCAACTGGCTCCTCATTAAATACCACAAAAGCTAGCAAAACGCTGTGTCAAAGTCAAAGTGACCGACTGTAAGGTCAGTGATCACTCACTTCTGGTCAAAAAAGTGAGTAATTAACGGAGGGCGGATGAACAATTTCTATGGCTTCTATGAAGGTGTATGAGCCAATAGACTGTCAACGGCTTTCGTGCTTCGCGGCGAGCTCGGTAGTCCTTGCTGCTTTACTGGGGCTCTTTGGGCGCCCTGAGTAGTCTGCCTCTACTCGAAAGCCGTTTACCTAGAGAGCCGGCTCCCAACGGTCGCGGTATACGTCAAGCGCCTCGCTGCCCTGCGGGTTAGGTCTTTATGATGCAAGACTCCAGGTGGGGTCCCTTAGGAAAACCCTCTTCCTCAGCTTGGGCAACCAGGAAGTACTATGCCCACACGACCTATGGATTCATGTTTCAGCAATTCTTCGCTCGCTCCATCTGCGCTCACTCTCTCGAACTGCTCTCATCGGCAGAGGTGCTGGCGGCTGAACCTGCCAAACCAACGTTTACCACATCATTGTTTAGTCACTTTATTCCACGTTTGTTCAACTCCTTATTCTTGGTCTTGCTCCTCCGTTTTCGAGTTCATAACATCGTGCCGCTTTGGGCGAACGTTCTCGCTATGCGGATTAGGAGCCTAGGTCTGAAGTTGCGCCAAGTCTTGTTGACAAGCCATTTCTAGCGCCCCGTTCCCAATTCAAGCTGGCAACCTTCAACGTTCGGACGCTAGTTCCACCGTCTGTGAATTCCACTGGCATTTTCACTGCGCCTATCTGAAGCCTCAACTGCCGAAGCCGCTGGTTACGCTGCCGTGAGGATTGCGTGGAGCAAACGTGCTGAGGCCGCGCTACTAGACTGGACCCCTGTTAACAGTTGACTATGCACGATCCGACTTAAAACTTCAGTGCGACTGTTCAGGCGTGAAGCCAGCAGACGCTGTCTATTCATTGTCGCAGCGTACGCTCCCACGG